TCAACAACACACGTGCTGCCTGAGCCCGTCGCGAGACACTACTGGTCCGAGAGCGGTCTCCTGTCTTTGTCTCGCGCTCGTAATTGTACTTCATACGATTGTACAGAGAGCAGACAGGAAGCGACCAGTCTCGGTCTCGTAACTCTGTCGCCTGCCTCGGTCGCTTGTCTCTGTCGCGTGCAGCCAAATTGTACCTTTAGGATCCTTAATACTGTTGGCGAGCTCTTCGAGAAGATCCTACGGACCAGACGAGGTAAACGACAAGTGACAAGCAGTTCGGGTTCCTATTGAGACATGGCACGACGTTGCCGCTGTTTGAAAAGTTCTCAGTTTGACGAGAAGAGCCTGACCTGCGCTGTTTCCCTGGATCTGGCTAATGCCTTCGACACCGTGTATGTCGAAGGTCTCAATAACAAGGTTACTGCACAAAACTCCCCACTTACTTCAACCTGTTATGTCATTTATAAATATATTTAGCGACGTCTATACGGCGCCAGCGTGAAACCGCCTTTAGTGGTCAGTGTACAGGAGCTGTACGTGGTGGATTCACATATCATCGAGTGACTCAAGTAAATTTTATTATTTAAATTGGCTTCAAAAATAACATTTCCTTGACACATATTTGTTCATATGACATTTTACTTTGATTTATCGTATGCATTTTTAACATTGTCAATAAACGATTTAGTTATTGTAGTAGTTATTATCTGTCTTCGTTCTGTTTATGTGTTATGTACGATATTGGTTATTTATGTTAATTTTTTGTGTGAATGAAAACCTCCGTATGAGGTCTCTTGAACAGGCAGTTCGATTTCAGTTTTTTTTTGTATTGTAAATAAACTTTAGAAAAACGTAATTTTTTGCGTAAACCAGCTATAAGAAAAAATATATTAAGTTTTCCTTATGAACTTTAAGTTTATAAAAAAGAAAGAAAGATATCAATAATGATATATAATAGATTATAGTCTACAAGGCACTCTTCTAATCCTAGCTATGGTTTTTGCATTCAGGAAGACTGCCGTTAGATCGCGACTGAAGTTCTTGCCGCGAAATTCAGAAACTTTAACATTCAATGCCCAGGTTTTTATTAAAATACGCGTAGTTACAACGTGGAAGTAACATGAAGAGAGGAGCAGGATTAATACAGGTGTCTTCGAAAGATATGTTCACAACATCAAGTTTGATGCCTCGAAGCTGACGGTGGTCATTTTGAACACTACTCTTTTCGATAATAAGTGCCAATGCTGACGTTTGTAATGGTTTAGTTTATTAAAATGTATCTTATTTCGTTCATTGAATGTGTGTATACATCGTTTTGGGGCACCCTATATGTACGTGTTGGAAGAGAAATGGCATTTGAATAAAGTTTTATTGAAAAGTAGTTTGTGTCGACGTATATGTGATAGTCGTTGATGGTTTTATTTAACAAAATCGATCGATATATCTGGATAAAACTCCCCCACATTGTATTTGGCTCGAAATTTGGGGGTTGCACCAAATGTTTGTGGCGAATTTCGTTGTTTATTTCGATTCGTATCGATTATTTCCCTTATGTTACGCTGACTCATTTCCGACGTAAATTTTCCGAGCATCAAATTTACGACAAAACAAACAAGTTATTCAGGCGAGTTAAACGTTTTGCTGTTTCATTTTCATTTATAGGATAAATGAGACGTCTTGATTATTGCATTCATAATTTATTTCACTTTCCGTGCCATTTTATTATCTTAATAACAAATCTTTCCTTTTTTTAAAAAAATATTAATTAACGCTTAGGCAGGCGTATACCGTTACAAATGTATGTTCTGTGCTGCATACGACTTGAACATAAAATACAGCTAAATGTCCAAACTACGTTTTCGAATACCGCATCTCAATCGATCTTTTACTTTATAAGAAAATACAATGTATGTTAGGGTGGTTTTTGTACTCCGCGCCGCGACGGGATCACGTCACGTGATATAACTAAATAGTTTGGTACTTTCTTTACTTGGATTACGTTTGTAAGAGGGCTTGAATCCGAAATCATCTGCAATAAATGAACGTCAGGTACGCAGAATCCCAAAGTACGCTTTTGGAAATATGTGTACTATACTCGAGGAGCACCTGTGTTCACAAATGTGTAGAAAATAAAGTTTCTTCGTACACAACAACAAAATTACTGGAATAACAGATTTAGGTATCGTGAGACCATCTTCAGGCCCAGTAGGTGTTTTGTATGAAACAAAGAATGTGTAAAATATAACAAACATTAACTGATATGGATTAAAACTAATGTAAAATAAAAATTATATACAGCATTTGCTTTTGGATGAATAATCGTATAATTACATATCATGTACTTTGAGGATTGTGGTGGATTTTGCTGTCTGAGACCGGTAACTGTGACGGTGTGTGTACTTTTGTTCATTTGTTTCTTTGTTTCGTAGCCAAATTTACTGTGCCAACTCGTATAAAGGCACGTATCTTCTCATTTCTCATAAACGATCGGTTATATAAATTAAATAAGACATGAAATATCTTGTCGATTGTGGTCTTCTGGGTTGTGATGTCGCATAATCGACTTTGCCGCGAGAACCCCAAATCTCAAATAAAATTTATTTTTCCCATGGCAGGACCATAGACTTAGTCACTCTTTGCAGAAGGAAACAGCAAAGTTCCTTGTTATGCAGTCTGTGTGTGCCAGTGTTACTGAGCTCTTTGATTTCGTGTGTTCAAAAATACCTGCGGTCTGTGCTTTCCAAGGACTGAGTTATCTCATTTTGTAGTCATATACAAACAGATAAAATAAAATTACTGTTTTATGTGCAGACCGTTCATTTTTATTCGCAAACCAGACTTCGCAGAACACTTATGATCCATTTACGAGATGGGCAAGTCACCGGATAGGTATCTGCTCGGAACTTCAGAGGTGGGGGGACCGTTGACCTTGACAGCCAAAACAAAGCACAGTGTCGTCGTTTGTTTAGTGTTCAACTCAGGTCGCCGTGCTGGTTTGATCAAGCAGAATTGGTCCCAGTTTTGCCGCAGGAGTTTTCGTTGTGGAGCTTTATTTTGCTAGCATATCATCAACGAGCGTTTTCAGTTGAGACAGTGAAAGGGCGTCGATTAATCTCCTAAATTTCGTCTCACTCATGGACGATCCTGATGTTTACAAAGGGTCGAAGAATTTGCCTCTAGCAATGCCACGTGATTGGTTTATCAAACATATTTAAATTTTAGTAACGCTGCGTTTGGCATGTATTAATAAATTCATCAATGTATAGCAAACATAATGCAGTGCTCTGTGTAATCTCTGGCCAATATACGACAGAGGAGTGGTTTGCATCAGGATTGTTCTTCGATGAGACAGAATATATAATCAGGAAGTTCTGTGAGATTGTCAGGGAGTTGGATCGGAAGCAGTGTGTAGGCGTGTGATCCAAAGCGACGACGCGCTAGAAGGCGTGAGGCGTAGTTTCCCGCAGTCTCTCTCTCTCTCTCAGCGATCACAGAAAGCTCTGATCAGAACATGGCAATAGGCAATGCACGTGAGGCGACAGACTGCTTAAGTGTTGCGTTCGTTTGTTCGGCAAGTTCCTGCCTACCGACCATGCTGCCAGACTCCGTCACTCTCGTGGTGGATAGTACTTTCCTCTCGGATGAAGCATGCTTACATTTTTCGTCTGTGTGAGCAGCCGATTATGGAGTTCTGATAACCCACATGCTCACAGAAAATTCCTTTGCACCGGGCGAAAATGGGCGTGAGGTGTTCGATTTCTTGGTAATATATCAATCAGCCTTCAGTTTTTCAATAAAAACTGTGCGATGCGGGACTGAACGATTTAATTTCTTGAGTTTGTGCTTACATGTGTTATAGTGAATATAATTTCTGTTTGTCAGTTCTTGAACTTCACTTCACTTGAAAGTTGGCTGGGATTTGATTATCTGTGCCTCCCCCATGAATTGACAATGCCATTCAGTCTAGTGTTTATGTTGTGAATGGGAGGAGCTTCACTTCCACACCCCTGTACTCCCCTTCAGTCTTTATGCATCACACTGGTTTTTGTTATGAGATATAAACATAACAGAATGGCATTTGTGTTTGTGTGCAGACAGCTGTCTTTACAGATATGTAATAGTATTTTGACATTTTCATACAGTGAGCAATTTGTGCAGCTGGAGTTTGGTCTGTGGTTTTGCCCTTTGTATAGAAGTTTTTGTGCTAGCTGCAGTATTATTTGTGTGTTGTGGTTGTGAAGAATGTTTATAAAAATTGGAAAGTGTTACAAACAATGGAATGTGACCTGAGATAACTCTGGATAATAATTGTTATAATTATATAAACAATATTTGTACAGTATATTTAAGTATTTTTCATCAAAACATATCAGTAATTTAATTTTTATGGGTATATTCCAAGCATTAAATAAAACGATATTATTTTTATGATATTTTCTGAAAACAATTGATCAGTAAGTGACCAGCTGTTTAGAAGAACCATCTGAATTTGAAACGTTTCACTGTTTTTCCTTGTTATGTGAAATGTTTCCTTCACATGTGCTATCATTTCACCTTCACCTGATCTGTTGCTACCACTAGACTCTTAGCGTACCCCTCCTTCCCCGTGGCTCCTTCGACTTTATTAAATTTTTCCTTTGCATACTTCATGCCTGATAACTTTTTAGTAGAAAGTAATGATTCTACTTATGACTCCAGATTCTTGTTCAAGGAACAAACAAAATGGGCCTGCTGAGTTTTATAACTGTCCAAGCCTTCCTTTATTTGGTGTGATATTCTAAGCATGAATAGACAACTGCTTTATTTCCAAAGCTTTGGGCAAAGTTTACAATTGTTTTCCTATATTTATCATGGATTCTATATCTCTTCTGTACACTAGGAACTTCTTATATCATTTAGCCCAGAGCAGGTCTGAGGTTTTCCTTGGAAATGAACTATGGATAAGGTTCAAGGGATTACAACACTGTTTTAAAAAAATTATTTCTTTGACATTTTTAGCTCTTGCAGATATTTTAAATTTGGCAAAATACAGGGTATACACAAAAGAATGGTGCGGTTTCAAAAGTTAATAAAAAAATTATTTCTCACCTTACACGGGCACAATATACACCGTCAGCGGCGGCAACTGTCCAGGTTTCTCGTGCGTTAATTACAATCCTTCAATGTGTGCACCCTGGCTCACACGACACATCCACAGCACGTCCGATCCAGCGCTGTGGAAAAACACGATTGAGAAGCACTCGTGCATTCCTGTGAAAATGGGGTGGAGCTCGGTCCAGTTGTAGAATGTAATCGTCATAATTGGTATTAAGTTGGGGTAACAACCAGCTTTCCAACATGTCCAAAAATGAGTCGCCAGTCACAGTTGCACCATTCTTTTGTGTATACCCTGTAGTAATTAATTATTAAGTAAGTAATTTTGCTCATGACAAACCCACTACAGAACTTGTCAGACGGAAATAAAATTTAACTTTAGTGCAATTGGGTGTGAACTGGAGGCCTGATGTGTCTTGATGCCTTGCAGCATGTCTACAGGTCACAGTATGACTCATCTTGCCCAACCGTTGAGTGTAGCATCTGACCACTAACAAAAAAAAAATATATCATACTTTCTCATCACTTTCATATCCCAATGTGGTACTTCCCACACATTGAAATGATCACCAAGTGTTGTATATAAAGTTGAATAAATATGGCAATACTTTTTTTTTATATAAATTACTCTCTGAAATTAAGGTTAGATGATGATTTGCCCCAAAATATGGGTGGCATACCAAATTAAAGCTGTGCTCAAGAACTTTCAATTGGTATAAGAAAGTGCTGTATCATAATTTGGACCAGATTTATGAGCATTTTAGTAAGGGAAATTTAAAGAAAAAACTTGCAGTTCCAAAATGCTGTATCTCTGTAATTAATGGTTACAGGAAGGTAAAATTACATATATGTCACTTCCTGAGGAGACCCAGTAAGCTTTTAGAGTGTTATTAGACTCAGAAATGTTCATGAAAATTTTGCCCCTAAGTGTGTTGATCTGGCATGTAATTACTCATAAGTTTTAGAGAGTAGTCAGGAATAT